TAAATTTTATTAATAGTTTTTTAAAATGAGCCGTCGTTTCTTGAAATCAATCATTTAGAAGTAATGACAATTTAAAAATTTCAAGACGGCTATGGCAATAACAAAAAAAATGTTCAAACAAAACTTATAAAGGGTTTAACAGTGTACCCAAAAAGTGTATTTTCAACTTACGTTATATAAGCGGAATTTAGAAAAAACGGCAATTTTCTGTAACTCTATAGCCCTTGTTAAACTATTTTAAATCAATTTCTTTTGACCCTATTTGTTAATAGATCTAGCAGGACTAGTTTCCTATATACCGCCGTTCCGTACCGTTAATGGATAATAATAATAATAATAATAATAATGTTTTTATTATAATGAATACTACAAGAAGTATTATTAATATACAATTATTAATACAAATTGCATTATAAATTTAATATGAAAACGTAGTTCTGATATCTATAATTCAACAATTCAAATCATCATACATTTTGGAACAATATTTTTAAATAATTGAAAATTAAAAATTTGGAAATATGATATATTAAATATTTTCATCAAATCATTGAATTATAAAAAAGTTCGAAACACCTTTGACTTCCAGCATATTTTAAATTTAATGTTAAATTTCGATTTCCACACTTAAATACATTAAAATACTTATATTATAATTTACCAAAGTTCGATTAAAGTAATAATGTTTTCCCCAAATATTATATATTACATTATATATACATATATAGCACATATTAATTTCGAAAGCTAGCACGTAGATTAAGAACAGACTGAGTGCGGGCGTTATTGAAATACATTTCAGGAAATATCTATTAGGCTCGCCATCGACATGATGAAGTGGCATTTACGTCGATGTGGCTCCGTCATCGGAACCCAATTACTGCGAGATGATGGAGTGGATTATGAGAATCAAAATCACATGTTTGCTTGATACATCAATTAAGTGATAGGAATAGAGGAGATTAGAAACAATGAAAAAATTGTTCACGGAAATTTGAGCTGCGAATACCACGCGCTGTAATGTTTCAGTTCTAATTTTCCACTCTACTCTGATGAAGTCGGTGTACCAGTTTTAGAGTACATAAAAACAATATTAACTGTGGACTCTAAGTAAAATGATTAACTTGCAACAATATCATTTCATTGTAAATAGTAAGGGTTGTTTGCTTGGTTTGGTATTTTAAAATTATTCCTGTATTATAATATGTCTAGAAGCAATTTGTCTCTTGTCAAAAGACATGCTGACATTCCTGTTTTGGAAGTAACATTTAAATATACAGGGTGGCCAAATGAAAACAAAACAGACATTATCAGGAACTGCGTTGTAGAAAAACGCTCAGGCACGTCGATTTTAGATTAAAGGAGGGCATTCTTTGCTGGTATTTTTTAACTCCGCCACTTTCACCCCCAAGCATCACCCTAAAATATTTAAATGGCATTGGGGGTTGAGGAATATTTCTTTTGAAAACTCTTACAATTCTCTTTACAACAGACTTTAAATTTTATAATTTCGTATTTGATAGTATAAACTGTAATAGTCTCCTTTGTAAGATACATTATTTAGTACTGTGTGCTGGTTTAAAGTATAACCAATTCATTTATTGATATGCTAACATTTTACTTAAAACACCTGTTTATAATGCATGTATTAATTTTAATAAAATTTGTAATTTCGGTGATATTAGTTTTTCATCACTAATACCATAAAAAACATTGTTTACAACAACGAGCACCTGTAAATGTAGTTATTTTTTTCTCTTTTCTCTTATACAGAACAGCTTTTGTCAAAATATATTTTGTAGTTTTGTTATGATTAGAGATTGTATAGAATTGTACTCTATTTAATATGCTGCGAATTTTCTGTAATTGGGTTTTCTGCTGGAAATAAAGTACATTATTAAACGAAAAATCTTTTTAAAATTTCAGTCGGTTGCAGATGACGCGATCACTTGTCAAACATACATTAATATATTAAATATTTGCGAGCTGTTTGTACAAAATTTTAGCCACAGGTTATATTGTATACACGATGTGTAATATGAGCACAAGACAAATGTCTCTTCAAATATTCCCGATTCTACACACAATATGTATACTTACTTATTCTCATGTCAACCGCTTGTGTACACTTACCATTTCTTTAAGAATAAAGAAAGCAACACACAATGAAACTCGCTTCAAGGTTGACAGTAATATTTGTAAATACAGATTCATTTTATTCGATATTTTTATTTACCTTTCTCTGAATAATCACATACCGAGTAACATTTACGTGTTGAATAGCCCAAATGTTGTGCTGTTTTTAAAGCTTTGGCGAATATTCCACAAATGAAAACATACTTTTTAATGTATCAATATGCATCATACACATGATAAGGCATACATTTGACAGATATACGTACTCTATTCTGGCATATGTACACTTGTTTGCATTCTCGACTATTCAATGATTCACACGGTTTATATTTGGCAAATTATCGCGTTATGTCGAGCCAGTTTAAGACCAAACGTCAAAACAAAAACAGCAGTAGGTATTAGAAATGTCATCAGAATTACCTAAAACGGCATGATTTTGTACTGGTAAACATATTTTGTTTTAAAATAGGTTGTATCTTTCGAATTAATCAACAATTAATATATCAATTACAAAGAAATTCAATATATTATTTGGATTGAGATCTTCTATTAATTTATTATATTGTCTTAAGTTATTTATTGGTGCCATAGTTTTCGTTTCTTTCTTTATACATACACTGTTACACATTAATTAAATAAACCTCTGGGTAGTATCAATCAAGAGTGATTTTTATGAAAATAGTTCTAATTAACCAAGTATCTCACACCGAAAAAAGCAGACAAATACAAAATAAACGTCACTAGATATCGCGCACCTCGAAAAGTTGTTGAAGTGTCGAAAATCAGTTTGTTGTCATCTTCCGAACTGATAACAATTTTTCAAAAAATATTTCAAAATGAAAACTTTTACAATCTTTTTTGGTCTTGTTTCCATTATATAGAAAAATAGAAGTAGTTATTATTTGAAAGAAGAGATTAATAAAATACATGAATCAGCTGTATGATTATATTAAACCGAAATCATTTTTCGTAAACAAATTGCTACGAGGCATTTTTATTAAATGAGCTTTATTTACTTTACAATTAAAAATGAGATTTAAAAAAGCTAAATATTTGGAACAAGCAAACTAAATTGTTGACAATAAGGTTCGTCTCTGGGACATAAGGTAGATAACTCAATTTTAACCGTTATTTGTTACTTACATTGAAAGATTAAGCATCTTTTTTCTCGATAACAGATGCTTCTAGCGATGTCAACTAAGAATACCGTTTATTCGTAGAAAACTATGAAGAATCAATGTTTAATATCAGAAAGAAGGACCAAAAAATTTAGTGCAGATATCTAATACCTATGTGTCAAAAAATATGAAGGAAAAATTATATTTTTTCATCTCTGACTTTTATATATTTGTTATTATTTTGCACCAGGGTATGTTGGGCCTATATTGACTCTAAAAGCCTTCCTTTATCGTATGGCCCATTCTCTACAAAATAGCCCATTTATTGAGTCCAGACGTTTCTGTTCTTATCTTATAGGTGGGCTCCCTGAATATCGGGACGCTTTGATATAACTATACTTTGTTAATAATTACCTGATTGACTGGACCTATATAAATAATTATGTGACTAACTGATCTTACAAATAACCCTAGCCTTCCTCTAGTGACTCCGTGTAGCAATACGGGAAAGATTAGTTAATCTCATTTAATATATTGTTATAGCTTGGAAAATCCGCCTAAAAACCAGCTATTTGACCTATTATATTTTTCAGACTAGAAGTGAAGTTCATACTCATAATGTTAGATCTAAGGATAACATTTCAGTAATTTTTTAAGATTGAGTAAAACAAGAACTGGAACGGGTTACATTGGTGTACATCTTTTTAATGTTATCCCATTGCATGTGAGAAATCTGAATTATAAACAATTTAAAAGCAAAATGAAAAATTATCTTTTACAAAATGCATTTTATAATATTGAACAGTTTTTAACAAGCGATGTTAGCCATATTTAATTTATTGTTCTTTTTTAATTGTATTACTTTTATATTTTAATTTATATAATTATAATCTCTTTTTAAATCATTTACTTGTATTATTCCCTGTATGATACTATTATTTTGATATTTTACTTTTGACTGTATACTATTATGTTTTGTCTTATTCACTCTTACATGTTTTTCAATAATTATTTTATATTATATGATGTACTTAGTGGAATAATTTCCTGATTTTGACATGTGTATACACTGTGTAATAACACTAATAGTTATAAATATGTAAATAAATAAATAAATTATTATTTTCCTCACAACATTTTAACAACTTATTCTTGGAATTCCTACCTTATTTGGAATGCATTTCGCGCGTTATTTGAAATATAGATTTTTCTCTTTATACCAGATGGCCCCCATAGTCTAAGTGAACTTGTTAAACAATATTGCTAAATTTCATGAGGCCTTCTCCGAAGGACGGCCTAGTGACGATGTTAAACCTACTTGAGAACCCTTAACTTTTCGATAATTAGTGTTGACTGAAACATTTTACTTTTTGGCCCATTCGTTCCGAGAACTAACAAATAAATTACTACGCGTCCCGACTTTTGTTACCACAAACCATGTGAAATATATTTATCTTGGGAAGTATCAAAAAATTTTCCAGCAAAAATAAATATAATATTGAAGTCCATACGACTACTATGATCCTTGGCGTTAAATGGTGACATTAATCCAATCGCTGTGATATCATTGTCCTGTCCTTTATAAAACCACTGTATTAATTACCGCAGTCTGCGATTTCACCTCAGAATGTGGCTTTGCCCCAACGTCCCCTACACATATGACCTTAAGATAACCCACCCCAACGTTTTTTCTAACTATTCGTAACAACTCACCTGATCACAATTTAAACCGTTTACCTATTTTAGGCAATGGAGCAGTGTAGGCGATACGAAGGATTGGTTTCCCAATGCAAAGCGGTATCGGGTCCGTCAGACCTAACGCATCTAGCGAGAGCCCTACCGACCCCGACTGGACGAGGGCCCGTAATGAAAAGGATATTCGTGCCGCCGCAGCCACCACCGCCTCCCGACCCCGTCGACGGGGAGCCGCAAGACCTACAAGTGAATGTAAGTTATTACTGCTATTATCGAGGAAGGAAGTTGATACTTTCATGCTGGGACGTCGTATTTCACGCCACAGTAAGGCCAGATGCAATAAACAAAAGTTAATTTTGTATTTTATTTTGCGACTGAGTATAAAGGCACGGCCGTGCGTCTGATATTGTTAGAAATTAATCAGTTTGAGAAAAAATTAAGAAGCAGCAATTATAATTTGGAGAATAGAAATGAAAATTTGTTACATTTGGATGTTTTGGTCCCAAACACAATTTTTATTAAGGTTCTTTCGTGAAAATATAAATCAAAGGAACACAGTAGCTTTGTTCCTAGTGCAATAATTAAAAATCGACTTTTTTCTATAGCTAACTATGTCTGATTCCAAATTCCTGACTGGGTGGTGGATGGCAAAGAAAAAACTCTAGTTGTTTAAAAGGATATATTTCCTTATAATACAATTGGAGGAGTTATAAGCTTTACAAAATTGCTATTTATAAAATATATCTGAAAATTATTTATTTTTTTCTTATCTCTCTTACTATATTATGTTGTTAAGGGATGATAGCACGTGTATATTTCGAAACAGAAGAAGGGACATTATTTTTGTTAAACTGTATGTATCTTAGAAAGTTCTGTCTAAGAAAGGGGTTGAGCACCCCCTCCACTCTGCCACTGTGCAAGTTTTTGAACATTCTTATCGCTTGTTTTATGCCACTTAATTAATAGGCATTATCCCCCAAACATGAAAAAAATCTAAGCATTCGTTTATCTTATAATGAAAATTCGAGAAAAAAAAATTATATTCAACACCATGTATCTCGGAAACGAAGCCTTCTACGACATATGTTTATATATACTTTTCTTTTTAAAAACATGTGTTCTATCTCCTGTTAAAGTTTGTCTACAAAAAACTGACTCACCATGCATAGAAAGGGAGATATACATACACCTATCCTGCACTTATATTCAGCACCGTGCTATGCAATCGTTAGTTTCAAAGCTCTATATCTTTAAACCTACTCATAGGATCGCTTTGGGCCATGACAACTTTCGCTCAGGAAGGTGAGAGCTATATCATATTTCAATTTCAGCCATTTTGACCGAAAGCCATTTTCGATAAGGTTTGTGCGGGGTCCTTTAGAATTCCATTATACGAGTATTATAAAGGGTGTCTCAGAAATATTTTCGTTTTTGAATCCGTCCACTTATGTAATGGCACGTTCTAGAGAAATGCCGCTGGTGGCTGGTGGTTGTTAAGTTTTTGTTGCCATGGAATAATGATTCTTATGTTGTCGTGTAACGCCTGTACAGAAATCATTATAATGTACTTATAATAACATATGGTTTTCTTATTACTCAAATTTTCACATAAAGGGTCATTTTAAAGCAGAATTGTTTATATTGGACTGAGCAGAACCCGCAAAATCTTCATCAGAAACCATTACAATCATCCAAAATGGTCGTATGGGCTGCCATATGAACCTAAGGAATCATTGGCCCCTATTTTTTTTAAGATAACCGCGGTCAAACTCAAAGAGTTGCATGTGAGCGCTACTGCCATATGATCAGAACATTTTTACACCTGCAATTCAAAGACACGATGGTTGTAGCAGGAATACTTATTGTTCCAGAAAGAGTCATCAGTCGCATAGGGAACATTAATTGGTCAGCGAGAAATGCCGATTTGATCAAAGCCGATTTTTTTTTCTTATGGGGCTACCTTAAGAGTATCACACTAATACTGCAGTATTTGAGAAAACTGAAACAAAAAATTGTAGAAGAAAACAACACTATTCCTGGTGCAATACTTCGATGAGTTATTGTGAACTTTACTTCGCGATTAAATCAATGTGAAGACATAAACGGTTCTTTTACTATTAAATTTGTTTCAATGTACACATTCTGAGCATTTATTTATAAAATAGCTAAAATAAGAAAATATTTATGAAACACCCTTTATTATTAATTCTAGTCACTTTCTAGTAATTTTTAGTGAGTTTTGATCTATTCATTAATGTACCGTGTGATTCACCATATTTTGACCCACCCATTAACTTTTTTGTTTCTAGAGTTATAAAATGCGAAATACAAAAGTTGCAAGATTTTTTGTGAATATTTCGAAAATGATAGTAGAAAAACAAATGAAGTCCAAGCAACACGGCCGCAGATGTTAACTTTGTTAATTTAAATGGAACACCCTGTATATTTTTAAATATTTGTATAGAACGTTCAGTCATAGTGACAGGTAATGTCATACAACATTGTCCTTGTTTGATAATTTGTATTATTATTTAATTAAAATGGGTTACACGGAAGTAGAAAATTGAAATATTATAGCAATTAAAATAGAGTAAAGATCTCCTTACTCTATTTTCATTCCTAATATTTCAATTTTCTACTTCTGTGTAACCCATTTTAATTTAATAATAATACAATCTAGCAATCAATAATAATGTTATCATGACATTACCTGTCACTGTCACGGCCTACCATATAACATTGTCCATGAGTAATTAGACCCCTCACGGCAGGAGTGAGATTTAGTTAGAACACCTATACGTATTTTGGACTATATCAATGTCAAAATGTATTACAACTAAATTTGTAAATCCTTACGTAATTGGAAAAAAGGCAGAGGTACCTGAAAGAGGTCTAACAATTGCAAGATATCTTATTTTCTTTATAAAAAACAATCTTCTCTTTTTTTAGTAATATCTCGCTTATTGTTAGAGATGGACCCAACAAACCCTATGCTCAACAGGGAATGTTCTATCCAATTATGTAAAAATATACAGGGTGTTCCATTAAAATTAACAAAGTTAATACCTATCCGCGGCCATTTTGATTGGACTTCATTTGTTTTTCAAATATCATTTTCGAAAAATTCATAAAGTCATAACTTCTGTATGTTACATTTTTTTATAACTCTTAAAACAAAAAAGTTAAAAGGGGAGTCAAAATATAGTGAATCACCCTGTACCAGTAAACAAAATATTGAATATTATCAAAAATAAATGAGAAAATGAAAATAATTTGTCGATAGAACTAACTAAAGTATAGGATGTATAATTAACATAAAAATGACTGCTGGCTGATCCTTATGGGGTAAAAATTTATTTTATTATTTTTTTTTATTTTTCAAAGGAGGCATATTAGTTCAGTTGGTAGAGGTTCGGCCTGTGTCAAACCTTGATAACCCGGAAATAAGTACACAGGCTTACTTTAAATGGTGAATACAATAACAGGCTAATTTGCTGACAAAGTATTTTACCAGGAAAAAAGTTATTCATAATTTAATCGTGAATAAATTTTTTTTAGTAGTTTTCTTTAAATAACTTAAATGCTTAGGACATGATTTTGTTCGTAATAAAAATAGCTTCAAAATGGCGGTGGTCCAATTGCGAAATTTGCAATAACAAAGACGTGAGATTGAAAAAACGGTATAAAACGTCAATTTTTTAAAGTTGAAATTTGAAGTTGAAGTTTTTTAAAGTCTGAAACTCAAAACTTTGATGAATTTGTTCGAAGCTAAATTTGGTACACACATAGTGTAAATATGCAGGAACCAAGAGCAATTTGCAAAATTCAAGTATCTTCATTTTTGCAGTTTTGGTAAGGTTTTATACTTCACCGTTTTTTTAATGATTGGACGTATATTTATAAAATATTCCATTACGGTAGTTCAGCCAGCACAATTACCTACAATTAATTTAAAAACAAAAATATTTTCGCCTGTTAGCCATACTCGTACATTATTCAACATATCAACATGAAACAAAAACGTACGTGTGAGGTAAACCTTTAACTTTAAGTAAACAATTGTTTAAATTTACTATTGCATATTCCTAATAGCGCCGAAGAGCGGAGCTCGCGCTCGAAAATGAAAAGTTAAAGGTTTACCCCACACGTACGATTTTGTTTTATGTTGATATGTTGAATAATGTACGACTACGGCTAACAGGCGCAAAATGTTAAGTAGCTTAGGATGTAAACGATGAAAATTATTATTTTTTTAATTGTAGGTAATTGTGCTGGTTAATCTACCGTGATGGAATATTTTATAAATATACATATATATTTTTCCAAAAATAAAAAAAAACGGTGACGTATAAAACCTTACCAAAGCTGCAAAAAGGTAAATAATTGAATTTTGCAAATTGCTTTTGGTTTCTGCATATTTACACTATATGTATACCAAATTTCAAGTGTCACCAAAACTTCAATCAAATTTGGCAAAGTTTGGAGTTCCAGATGCCGATGGATGTATAAAACCTTATAGAAGAAAATGTTTTGCTCTTCTGATTTTTGGCTTTAGCATCATTATTGTATATATATTGAACTATAGTTTGCGAAAGTATTATCACTTTTTGTTTATAATTGACATTTTTGCAGCAACTTTAAAAAATTGACGTTTTATACCGTTTTTTCAATCTCACGGCTTTATTATTACAAATTTCGTAATCGGACCACGCCATTTTGTAGCTATTTTAATTACGAACAAAATCATGTCCTAAGCATTTTTTCGTACAAAGTCATCCCGCCTAGTTATTTAAAGAAAACTGCTAAAAAAAATTTTTTTCCACGATTAAATTTTTAATAACTTTTTTCCTGATAAAATACTTTGTCAGCAAATTAGCCTGTTATTGTACTCATCATTTAAAGTATTCCTGTGTAGTTATTTCCGAGTTATCAAGAAAATGTCACCAACAATAACTTTTCGGCCTCTGTCGACTGGTCTATATTCAATAAATAAGGAAAAAAGCAAAATTATCACGAAATGTAGAAGGTATCTGTAATAAATTTACCTCTGTTTTGAAAACCATTACAATTTCCATCCAATTTCACACGAAATAGGCATCTTCGAAAACTAAAAAGTATTAGGACTTTATCCTCTTACATTTTCTATGTGTAAACCTCTATAACGGAGAAGTAGATGTTAGATTTAATTTATTTCTGTGCTTCAATAAGATATTGTGCTACTCGCTGAATCTAGAGCTTTGAAGTTTGTAATTTGTATGTTTACGGATATTTTAACGACAGCAATTCGAGTATCAATTCGGAACTTGGTGCGCTTCCCGACGTAATTAATGACTTCTGCGTCAACTAATTAATATTACGTAACGCATTAGACAAGTTTACCGGCTTAATAACTTAACGCGTTTTTGTGCAGGACAACATCCCTCCCCCATTAAAGGATGAACTGGTGATAGATAGGCTATCGGCGGTCCAAATAAAACCGTCTCATGACGTTCTAAGAAAGGAGGCCCAAGATCTGGACGCACAGATACGTCAGATCCAGGACGCTTTGGACACTTTACTCCGCATTCAGCAGCGGTCCGTCGAGGCTTCGCTCTACAATAAAGCCAACGAACTTCAAGAGGATATCTCGATGAAGAGGTTCGATCTCAGAGTGGCGCAGCTGCACCTAAGCGCCATCAATAGACAGGTAAGTTTTTTTGGTTTGATTGCACAGCAAAATAATAATATATCATTTTTCGCTTAATTGTTTGTACAATTCCATTATACAGGATGTCCCGAAATTCATGCAACAAAATTTGGTCATAGATTCTTAAGACAAATTTAGAGGACCCGTATTTTTTCTTTTTGCCAACTGGCCCCCTCTTTCAGCCCCCTGAAATCTGCCCCTAAGAAGTCTTTTTTATATCTCAAAACCATGCTGTACGAGAATCACTAAATTTGGTACACAGGGGTTTTATGACGTGTGGAATCTCACAGTGCTACGCTTTTTGGCGAGAAACCCCCTTAAATTTGATTTTTTAAAAAAACTATTAGTTAGCTAGAAAGCCATTGAATTTATAAACTCTTTTGTCTCTTGATATTTGTTTCGTAAAACGCAATGTTTTTAAGGAAAATGGCGAATCACGATATGCATTCGATCACATTTAATGGGTTTCTGGTGGACTGATAATTTTTAAGATATTGAAATATGCGACCAAATTTTTTTGGCTCCAAAGACAAAGGGCCCACGAAAAATTGTCTTAAGGGGGTTCCCCGCCAAAAAACGTAGCACCATCAGATTCCACATGTCATAAAACCCCTGTGTACCAAATTTAGTGATCTCGTACAACAGGGTTCTGAGATATAAAGAAAAGATTACACAGGCCAACAAGGAAAAAATTCCAGAGATCAGACACTACGTTTCCGAAGGCATTTGGCGCGCTGAATCCGAATCTGGCCTCAGAATTGATCCATCACCCTAGGTTTCCGAGATATTCTAACCTAAAAGTGCAAAAAACACGTATTTTTGCTATTTTCAAGGTTATGTAACTTGGCGAAAAAA